AAGCTCCACTTGTGGCATCTGCCGTTTTGACATGCTTCCCTCAAAGCATTTTCAGGTTCTCCTCCATACTGTTAATAACAAATAAATTCACATATTCTTCTATTAGGCTTGACGAGGACTTCAGACCTTCTTAAAGTTTTTGGAGGAGAAGTTTTGGGTGTGTCGATTGATTCCTCTTAATTCAGGGACCTTTAACTAACTCATTCGGCAGACTTCTTGAGATATCGTCCACTCTACAAAACAACTGTGCCCACTCTCTCTGATCCGCTGGCAACTGTGTTATGTCTGTCTTTGTACCATTAAATTCTTATCATTGAAAGACCACTTCTCTTGCTGCGGATTCCACTTCTTATTTTTCTTCATCCCAGAGGCGGATCCAAACTCAATCTCCGCCATAGCCAATTGAAAGATGTACATTTTTAGAATTTGGGATCAAGCTTATTCCTGCCTTGATCACTAATATGCACATGATGCTACACAACCGGAAAAACTTTTAGATGTAGATAGTTTTACTTCTTTTCCACTCCATACCTCTTCTGGATTTGTTGCTTCCAATGCGAACCGATGGCCCGTTTAATCGAAGTAAGCTACTGTGTTGGACGCTTTAGCCCAGCAACTGCTTTGGTAAGCGCTTGATTGTACACGTAAGCTTCGCCTCTTTGCCAACGTTCGATCAGCGCTCAGCTACACATTGTTTAGGCGTGCCTTGGCAGCGGTTCTTCTCATCTTGATTTCCCATGGCTCATAGCAGAATTCTGAACCTGGTGTCTTTATTATTCACCCACCATGTGCGGGTTCTGAGCCTTTTGAATCTCCAATCCTGTCTTCATTTTCAACCCATAAGCCTTCCAAATTTTGGAAAGCATCCAATACTTCTAACTTTTAATATTTTAGAAGTAAAACCCATACTTTCCGAGAGTGAGTGATCCATCAATAAAAGTCCACAAAATGTATGTTCCCACCAATGGATGAGACAGTAAGTTGGCCCACACATGCGAGTGAACAAGCTTCAAGGTTTCTCCTGTCTTTGGTTCTTCTATTTGTCTGAAAAAGCTGAGTCTTTTCTGCTTGTTCCAAATAGCAAGGCTTTCACACATGTCCGACATTTCAGTTGAGCTGAAGACCTGGTATTTTCCTGTGTGAGTGTAGAATCTTCATGCCTTTTCCATACTCATATGTTCATTCCTTTCATACTCATATGGCCAAGCCTCTGATGCCATATATTGGGAGTTTCACTGTTTGCTGCAACAGCAATGGAATAGCTTGCTCCTTCTCTGCTGTAAAGAGTACCACTCTTACTTCCTCGAGCAACCATCATTACACCTTTTGTAATCTTCCAATTATCGCCATGGAAGGTTGTTGTGTAGCCGTCGCTGGCCAACTGGCCTACTGAGATTAAGTTCTTTCTCAGATCAAGAATATGTCTGACATCCTTCAACTCCCATGTAGACCCATTCAACTTAATCTTCACTACTCCTTTACCAACAATATTTCATGGTTGGTCATTACCAAGGTATACTTTTCCAAAATTTCCGGGGACATACCTTTCAAGGAGTTCTTTTTGTGAAGTTGCATGAAATGACGCACCGGAATCTAAAACCCAAGAAACCCAAGACTCCTGCTTGCTCTCCAAAGAGCATATAAGTGCATCATCTTCTCCTGAGGTGGAAGCAACATTTGCCTCTAACTTTCCCTCCTGGTGCTTAGGTGTATTCTTGCACTGATTTTTGTAGTGCCCAGTTTTTCCACAATTCCAACATTCGATGGTCTTTGTGCCATTGAAATTACTGGGATTTCTAGATTTGGACCTCCTGTCCTTTGACTTGCCTCGATAGTTCGATCTACCGCGTCCATTCCCTTTGGTTGAATTTCTTCCTCTCGATTCTGTATGCAAGACTGCAGAAGTTGAAGGTCCACCTGACTCTCTCTGTCGGATCTCTTCACTGAGAACTAGGTCACGAACATCCTGTCGGATCTCTTCACTGAGAACTAGGTCACGAACATCGTCAAATTTTAACTTCTTGCTTCCGGACGAGCTACTCACAGCTGTGACAGTAGCATTCCAACTTTCTGGTAGGGAAGACAAAAGTCTCAATGCTCGTACCTCTTCATCAAATTCAATTCTAATTGAACTCAATTGGGTTGTCACTGTATTGAGTTCATTAAGATGTTGGGCCACAAATGCGCTTTCCGTCATTCATGCGCTTTCCGTCATTCGTAGATTGAATAACCGTCTCATCAAGTGAACTTTGTTTGCGGCCGATGGCTTTTCGTACATATTGGAAAGAGCCGCCATAAGACTTGCCGTGGTCTTTTCTTTTGCTATGTTGAAGGCAACATTTCGGGAGAGGGTTAAACAAATAACCCCGAGTGCTTGTCAGTCTAGAAGGTTCCAATCTTCTTCCTTCATAGCCTCTGGCTTCATTCCGGAGAGAGGTTTGAAAAGACCTTTCTGATACAGATAATCCTCTGTCTGCATTTTCCAAAAGCCAAAATCTGCACCGTCGAATTTTTCAATTTTTGACTTTCCTTCATCTTGACTTTCCTTCATTGCAGGCCATAGCGTCCCACTCGAGCTCTAACATTCCGCCTTGATTGCTAGTTATACATGAATTAATACCGTATTCAGTGAATAGTTACTATATGTAATAGTAACCGTACCGTCGAATGGTAATTCATACACGTGAATAATACTACTGTCGTGAATAGTGCTTGGGCTTAAGAGTCACGGGCGCCTCAGCACAGTAACACCAACCAGTACTATTCCCAAGACAACTTTGAGTTACAATTGCTTTTTACTTATTTCACCACTAAGGTCGGATTCTGCAAACGACCTTTCCGAGCGGACAACACAATGACTCGTCGTAATTTTCTCTTCGTCGAGGTATATTTTATTTTCAGCTAGTATATCCATGGATCCGGTACCAGCTATCTGACTGGCTGGACCCTTGCCGAAGAACCTTCGGGCTCTGATACCAGTTGTTTTGGGAAACTACGCAAAATTTCCTATTAAACCAGATTAGTGAGAATGCAAATAAAAGCGCGAATAATAACACACACAAATTGATAACGAAGTTCGGCCAATTCTCTGCCTACGTTCCGGGAAGCTGCTGCAGATCTTTTACTAAAAGGAGAAAAATTATACAAAATGGTTTAACAACACTTATAACCCACAACTTCATAAATTCACCCAAGAAAATTACTCTCAATTTTCTCTCACCAAAGCTTTTCTCTCTGAACTCCTAAGCTTAATGGATTTCTCTTCTGAAAAATGAGTTGATAATTAAAAACACTGCTAATGGATTTCTCTCTGAAAAATGAGTTGATAATAAAACACTTATGGAAGTGCTCTATTTATAGATGCAGAATTTGGTGGTTGGCCAACCATTGCCTTAATTTTCTTTGGTTGTTGGCCAACCATGCATATCGATTTTGACTAACAAATTTCTTTGGTTGGTGGCCAACCATGCATGCCATGCATGCCAATTTTGGCTAACAGTATTGCATTGCGAAATCTATGGAAAATCTATTCAGTATCTCTCTTCTCTTCTTCTAGAATTCTCTGTCTTCTCTCTCTCTTCTCTATGTATTCTTGATTCTTGAATTTACGTATAAGTGGTATCAGAGAGCTCTTTCCTGGCCATGGCGGAAGTGTCGACTACCAGATCACAGGAAGCTCTAAGGAGTTTGCAACAATGCTTTCAGAGTTAGAACAGAGGAACAGAAATGAGTTCCTTTCCATCATTGCTAAACTGAAGACACTTATGGCTGCTAACAATATTCAATCATATCGTGAAGAGCATCATCACCAGTCAGTTAACAATTCTGAGACTTCTCATCAACTTGTTAATTCTAGCGCACCAACAGTTAGTAATTGGGGACACAAACCAAAACTGGATTTTCCTCGCTTCAATCACTACAAAAAAAACGCCATTTTGCGACCGACAAATCGGTCGCAAAATGGCAAAAATCGGTCGCTATTTATACTTTGCGACCGATTTGCGCCGGACCGACAAACGGTCAGGTCGCAAAATCACTGGCCGCAAATTGTCAATTGCGACCGATTGAGGAAAAATTCAGTCGCAAAATTAGAGACGATATTCGGTCGCAAAATTGAAAATAAAAGCCGGTCGCAAATTTTGGTCGTGGTTTAATTGGAAATTCAGGTTCGCAACTTTGGTCGCAGTAATACTCTGGTTCGCAATTTTTTTTAAAATCGGTTCGCAAATCGCGTCTTCCAATTTATAAAATTCTAAAAAATTTTTTTTTGGTAATAAATCAGTCGCAAAAATCGGTCGCAAAATGAAAAGGGAATAAAAAAAATTAAAATATTATTTTGAAACCAAAAATTTTTCTACCACCCTGTTGAAAGTTGACATTAAATGCATATATACACACACGCAATTCAAGGAAACAGTATAAAAATGCTAATTTTTATTGTTCTGAACAAATTTAAAAAATGAAAAATTACAAATGAAAAAATAAAAGGTCTGGAAATTCAAAATCTTATATATGGTGCTGCTCATCTGCAGGGATCCGATGGTCGGACTTGCCGGGAGGCAGTTACCTGCTGGATTGAATTGTATGCAGGAGGGAGTGGAGCAAGGCTTATCGCCTGCAGCATCTCGGGCATCAAGGAGCGGATAGGGCTGCTGGCTGAGACGTCGGAAAAACATGGTTCGGCTCTGTAGCAGGCGCAGGATCAGAGGAAGGAAGTACCCAGCCGGTCCTCACCGGAACAGCCGCAGCACATGCCGCTCTCAAGCTCTGCAATTCTGTCTCTGCTGATCAGCAAGCTGAGCCCGTATATTCATCATTCATAGTGCGAAGCCAGTGTGACTCCGGGCTGCGGTCTGCTGCGCTGGCTGTAAGAAGCGTGAGCTGCCTGAGCCAGTGTTAAACTGTTAGATGCCTGAGACCCGATGCCGTAATTACCTTCCTCTTTTTCTCGCCCCCCTTTACGCCTCGAGATAAAGCTAGCTACCTCTCAATTCTTGACTTCAGCTTCGGATTTCATCGGGTCCTGAGAAGTAACCAATACGCTCCCGAGCTGTAGATAGTGTGCTCCTGAAAATAAAAAATTTAATAATCAATGGCAATTGCAAGCTTTATTTATATTTGAACTTTGTACATCTTCGCCAAATGATTAGAGGGTTAAATGTAAATATTATTTCTTGTTACTTACATGACGATCAGCGGCCACGTCTGTCGACAAAGGTTATTATGATCATGGGTCCTTCGTGTGAGTGTATGTAAACACCTCCATCGCGTGATCGGTGTGGGCTCACGACCTAATTCTTTAGCCTGTAATGAATTTTTATGCATGATATATTAATATATATATTGTCCTTTCATTAAACATCAGTTTCTTGCAAAGGGACTAGTTCACTTACTAATAATCGAGCTGTCTCTATAGCAGATATAGATCCGCCTGTGTGTCGCGAAGGTCCTGCTCCATCCCCGCCAGTCTCACTGCGCCTGTTTTGTGCAAACATCTCCCGCTTTCTCTTGAATGCAGGATCCTCCCAAGCCTTTTGCCAGCTCTCCCATATCTCCTGAGACACGCACCGTTGTTTCTTACCGCTTCTTCTCATCCTATAGGTGAAGTCAGCGTATCGATCGGCGCATATCTTCTCCCAGGCTACTTTCAGCATAGCCGTAATGCGTATACGGAAACGTCAGCGACGATCGGCGCATATCTTCTCCCAGGCTTACTTTTCAACATAGGCTGTAATGGCCTCGTCCCATATGAAAGTTTTTCTGCAAAAAAAATGAAAATATTAGCGTTTAAACACTAAGGATTTATCTTGGAATTGTTAAACAGTTGAATGATGATATAACTTTAAAACCAAAGAGTACCTTGGAAAACTCCTCCCAATAAAAGTCTCTTCGCCCTTCTTGTGGTACGGCATCCCATGTGTATCCTTCTTCTATCAGCTGTTTTTATAGGCTTGATTATCTTTCAAAATTTTTGCCCTTCGCTGCTCTGAGAGATGGATATATGCCGAAAAAAAAAAAACAGAAGTGAAATATAATACACGAAAGCATCACAGAGCATGAACAAGTACAAAAATATAATTACCAAAGTTATGCCTACAGAAAATCTGAATAAGTTACTTACTTGCTTCCCGCTACCAAACTGAGGGTGGATACGTGGATCTGATGAAAGCTTGCCAAAAATAAATGACAAATGTTATACATTTCTAGATAATTAATATATAATTAAAATGACAGTTATGACATTTATGATTTACCTTGCACAGTGGGTGACTTAGTGCAGCTGCTGGGTCTGTAATGCGTCAGAAACGGGGCTCGTCTGTCGCATCTACTAAGGGTTAAGAAGAGGAAGGAGCAGGAAAGAGGAAGGAGCAGAAGGCTGTGGATGGCGCAGTACTGGACGTCCCTGAGCAGAGGATGAAGCCCAGACGTACCTGGGAAAGGAAGGATGTGGTGATGGCAGCAGTACTGGTCGCTGAGTAGAGGATGAAGCCCCAGACGTACCTGAAGAAGAAGGAGGGATAGTCCCTCCTCGTCCACAGGCACTGCATCCTGAGCCACGACCTCCACGCGAACCAGTGCCGGACGCGTCTAAATCAAATGCTCTGCCTCTAGCCATCTGTACTACAGATATCAGAATATAGATAAATGAATTTATACAATTATATGAATTGTAGAACATGTTGTAAATATGTGTAAAGATAGTTAATAACATTGAAATTCTTCATTAATAATATTAGATATACATTTATCAATTTGTGACAGTAAAACTGCTCTAAGTATTAAGTGTCTTCAATATCATCTGCTTCCTCCTGCTCTTCATCTTCTTCCTCTTCTTCATATTCATCTTCTGAGGTACCCATGATGATTTGATCTTCTTCCAATTCATCATCCGATGCTCCTATTTCAACATAAGATCGGCTTTCATCATCCAATCTATCTGTTAAATCTTCAACAACTTGCATCAGTTGCGTATCAACCTTTTATGTTTTGGATTTTAGGGTAGGCCAGGAACAATAACACACAAAAAACATATATTCATCTTTCATACACATTTGTCGGTTGGTTTAGATTTTTATGGTCCAATCAAAGGTTGCAGAAACACATCAATTTTGTATTTCAGATTATTAGGGCTAGGTACAATAACACATAAAAACATGTATTCATCTTTCACACACATTGAGGGTGGTAAATTATATGGTGTGACAATGACAGGCCATGATGAATATTGTTATTAAAGTGTTTCCACGCTTCAGATTCTAACGGATGAGTAATTATACCATCCTTATATTCATGCAAAGCATGCCATCTCTTGTGTTCAGCTGTCGCCTTAGACGCATATAACCTTTAAAGGTGAGGAACAAGAGGGAAATAATACATCTTCTTGAAAGCCTTCTCCCTTTGTACTCTACCAGTCCCTTGACCCTGCTTTGATATCTTAGAAGATTATAAAACTTGCATATTCTTAATTCGGAATGAACACCACAGTAAATAATATAATTATTTCGACAACAATTAACTTTTCCACTGGTAGTCCTAATCCCCGAACTAATTTTTTTGTCCGGTAAAAATTATCCACCATTGAATGGCCTTTAGGCAACATTTCTTTTGATAACTGCACAAAAATCATCGTAACACCTTTTTCTGAAAAATGGTGCCTCTTACTTTCATGTGTAGTAATCGTGCAACAAATAGACAGACTGAATGATTCTTGGCATCCAGGCCACAGTTCAATTGGTTAGCTGGCACTTAGCATGTCAAAACAATTGTTGTGCTTGCTACATTTTTTATTCGGCGATTCCTCCATATTATCCCAATCAAATTGTCACATTGTACTCTACTCGCATCGATTACCATATCATTGCATTGATTACCATACAGAAATTGATAAGGCTGAACTTCTAAACTTATCGGAATGGAGTGACCTGACCCACTTGCAACTCGAGCTTCACCATGATGTATCCATTCGTAATAATTTTCCACGAACCCATGTTTGCACAAATGAAGTTTCACTGTTTCACTGTATTGATGTCTAAGAAGGCTCGATTTCGACACTTCTTGTGATTACATGGACACCTCAACTTATTACCATCCATAAAAGTGGGATTACCAACTGCAAACTGTATAAACGCCTCCAATCCTTGCAGGAACTCTTGTCTTAATATCCCATTGACCTCGAACCTCTAGTACATCCAATTTCGATTATTTCGCATTTTTTTTTACCTAATTAACAATGTGTTTATAAAGGGTAAATTATATGTAATTGCATTAGTCTAAACCATCCTTAAAACATGCCACTAATTTAATGTTCAATTTACACTTATAACTAACTAAGGTTATTTCTATAATAAGGGTAACTATATATAAATGTAAAATCACTAAGTTCATTTATTCAATACAAATTCATTTATCAATTTACAAAGGTTATATATATATATATATATATTATTAAAGGTAAGTGTACTTATTCTACATAAATTGAATTTTATTGAAAAAAATCCAGGCAGCATTTCGGCACAACACTACCAAATTCTCAAATAGAAAACAAAGTTACAGACACTTTCCAATAAACACTTCTATAACATATCAACATTCGTCCAAAGGCAAAATGGGCCACTACTAGGCCTCCAATACCAAAACTCATCATTAACGAGGACTTGCTCAAACAACAAATTATCACAACAAAGTTGCACGTTATGATTAAAAAAACTGCCAGCACTCATTAACATTATCACAACCCTGATTCAAATTCAATTTAATTAACTTAAACGCAAAATTCAATTCTAGTGAGGGTTTCTTTTTAATTTTAACTTAGCAAGTATAGTTAGGAGCAAGTAACATGTTGGATAATTACTATAACTAAACAACGGCTATTTATAAAGCCCATAATTCTTTTGCGTATTTATAAAAGCCCATAATTCTTTGGGCCCTTTAAACCATCGCCTTATTAAATTGGGCCCCAATGAGCCCACCTCTATCTTTTCTTGTTAACTAGCTGTTTAACTTTTTCTTTTTTTATTTAACTTATAATGTTAAAATTATTTTATAAAATATTTTAATTGAAATATATTGAAAGCATTTTCAAACAAGTTGTCGTTATCCATTAGAAACGGTGAAAATTATTAAAAAATAAATTAACAAAACACCACTTTTGTCAATGCAACTGTAACAACAATGACAAGTAAGTTTATTATTGAGAATGACAAATAAATTTTGAGCTGGTTCAACGTTATTTTTATCTTATATTTGACGTAAGATTGGTTTAGACTTGCGAAATCAATTTCTGAAAGTGACATAATATTAAATAAGAGTTGGTGCCACATTAATTGAGTTGGTGCCACATTATTTCATAATTTAACAATTATTAAAAAATTAATAATAAAAAATATTTATCATATTGATGTAAATATGCTAATAGAATCTACCAAAAATCAATACTTTCCTCGTCCAGATAACCAATTAAGTTTGGGAATCTTTTGTTGTTTGTTTATTACTATAATTTTATATTTGTACAATTAATTATTTTTATTTAAATATTTTAAAGAATTCTTAAGATTTTTTTAATGTTATTTGGAATCTTTGTACGTATGATTTTTTACCAACTCCATCCCTCTATTATTGATGGTTTATTCTAATTTTATAGATAAATTATTCATGTATAACATGATACGCGAATTATGTAATTTTATATATTTTTTAATAAATTTAAATGAATGAAATTACTGCGATTTAAATTTGTATTTTTTAATTTAAATAATTTATTTATATATTTTGATTAAATAACGAAAGATGATATTATATGATCATTACTTAAATATGATAATTTTTTAATTAATAAACTGAAATATTTATTATTGTAATTAAATTATTTTAATTCGACTGACATAATTATTTATTTTTTTCATTTTGAAATTCTCATACATTCAATTCAAATCTTTTTTTTTATATAATTACAAGAGATATATAAAGATTTAATGATAATGCAATTAATCTTAATGAAATGAAATTATATTTTATTTTATTAGTTAACCTTATTATTATAAATCCATTATTTGATTAATGTTATTAATTATAACTCCATTGCTTAATAAAAAAAAAACTTAATATTTATTAAATGCAAGAAAACAAGATTAATTATAATGCGAAAAAGTTAAAACGCCAGAAGAATACTTTCATACTCTAAGATGTTCTCCCTCAACATCCATTACTTTAGAAATTATATATTTTTATAGATAGATATATATACTATATATAAATTTTTAATATATTTAAAATAAAAAAAAATCGCAGATTTAATTTTCAAAAGATAAAAAATTCAAAATTTTGCTAATCTATATATCTATATAAAAGCGAAACAAAGAGAAGGTTTGAGGCCTTCTCTTCATTCAACTTTATTTTTTTCTTTTTTAAAAAAATTAATTTTTTTTTATTTTTCTGTATTTTGATTGGTCAACTCAAACAAATTTTCAATTTAATATTTAATATAAATATTGATAAGTTTTTAAAATCTAATCAACTATTCTAGAAGTAAAACTACAGCTATCTACCTTCTGAAGCAAAGAATCCCACGAACTGTCCACATTTACTTTCTTTGCCTCCTAGCTCTGAAGCTCAAAGGAAAAGAAGAGGGCGCGTTTAAAGCCCTAATATTTGCGACCGAC